CTATGTCTGGCCTCAACTCATAATCCTCCTGCCTCAGCCCCGTGCATGCTAAGGTTAGACGTGTGCTGCCATATACCCACCTTGCAGTTTTCTTCTGAACAGAGCTGTTGCAGAGCTCTCAGCCTAAATACTGAATGGGAAACAAGCAGCAGAGGTGGCATGCTGTTATTGATGACCGGCTACACTGAGGTACCTCAGAGGACCGGACAAAACCAGCTAAGGAGTACTGGACGACAGCCACATCCTCAACCACAAACCCCGTGCGGCTGATATTCAAGGGCCAAAGGAACCATCTCAATCTTGACCAGAACCTTTTCACCCCCGTGAAATCTTTGTTTCTTCCTTCATCCAAAGCCAGACACTAATCAGGGCTGGCAGAAAGCCTAGAAGATGGGTAACCACTTCCTTAGCTGTCCTAAAACAGTCTTTATTCCTTATCGATAAGTACAGCTTAGAGATAACTGCATGAGTGACCCTCTGCCAAAGCAAAGAGGAATAAGTGGTCCTCTGTGTCCTGACCATGGGGCTCTGGTCTTATGCCAACAGGGGCCTGACAGAATAGCCACTGAACCTGTGCATTCAGACAGTAAAGCTCTATGTAAACTCAACATCCATGTCGGCTGCCCTGTGCCATCCGCAGGGATGTAATTAGGCAACACATGGCTGGATTTCCACTGCCAACAACACAATTCAATTACGGTATTGTCTGCAGATGGAGTCATGGGGACTAATGAGAAGGAAGATTAGATGGAAGGTTAACATCCTACTGCAAACTCCAACAACAGTCTTTGTATTAGAAACAAATCATTACTGACACTGGTCCAAGGGTCTTTAATAGTCACCTCCCCTGAACTTTCTCCCTCAAACATCTGGGATTTCAATCAAATATCTTCATACGTATAGTGGGCGCATTCAGATTCAAGAACTCACATTTATATGATTAACAGTCCTGCTTTTTTTTACAGGCATTTCTTTTTGCATTTACAAAAGCCAATTTGTATCTTGAAAGCTTCCCACCCCCACCCAAGCCACTGATCACCTTGGGAGGAACATCATCACACTGAGGTTCTGGGGAGGGGAGGGACATATTTGCCAGCAGGGCAGACTGGTCCAGTGGGATGGCCCTACTGTCCTCATCATGCATAACAATGGCAATTGGCAGCATTATTCCCATTAATTGAACAGCACTGTGCCTTTTGACAATGAAAGTAACATTAATAATTAATATCAATAAAGCTGAGATGTTGTTTCATTACATGGAAACTGAGCTTCGGGATTGTGCAAGCTGTCAAGGACACCACAGAGGAAGTAACTGGCTAAAATGGAACTGAAACCCCACAGTCATAATTACACAAATTCTAAGTTCTTTGGGCCAAGTAGTCCCAGTCTTCTTAAAAATGAGGCTGGTGTTAGAAACTTTAAGAAAAGGTGTCCTGAAGAAAGGCATTCAGCAATTATCATTCTCTCCACTAAGAATATCACAGAGGTGCATGCTCTCCAGACAGTAATAAACTCAGTGCTAAATTGTGTCAAACACTGCTGTGTAATCACAAAAGCAAACAAAGTATTGACATGATAGATGTTTACTAAGCAGCTATTGTGTGTTGCAGACTGATGGAGAGATGCAGTGAGCCTCTGTCCTCTTGGAACTAACATTCTGATGCAATAAAAAGAATATGAATGTAACAGGCCATACCTGTGCTATAAAGACATAGTGATAAGGCAGGAGAGATAGCTCAGTCCAAACATAGTGTGCTTGCTTCTCCCTGACTCCTGATTTCCCATACAGGCATCCCTAAAGCAACAGAGCCTCTGAACCTCTCTGTCGCTGACATTTAACTGGATCCTTGGGGTCTTGCCTGGGCTCAGGATCTCCAGATGAGAATCTAGGACAAGTGTGAAGGTATATCCTGTATAGAACATGGGAGACTCCTTTCCTCACTTTCCAGGGCAAAGTGTCCTCTTCTTTATCCTGTTCCATTGCCCTCCATCCTGGAAGGGTGTATCTGAACAGGCTTTCTAGGTTTCTGTCTTGAACAGCTGTGAGGGATTTGTAGCAGAAAAACCTGAGCCCTTCTTGGCAGGTGGGTAGGAAGGAGTAACTATATACAGACTACTTGGTTCTGCTCCTAGCCCTACAAGTTGTCTTTGTGATTTGAGCATCAGTTTCCTCCTATTTAAATGGGACCAAGAACAGCTCCCACCTGAGGTAGGGGCTGTGTTACAACAGTTCTTGGCATATAATGAGTAAAATAAAGGCTTTTTGTTGAGACAAGGACTTAATATATAGCTCAGGCTAGCCTGAAACTTGTAGTGATCCTCCTGCCTCAGCTTCTCAAATGCTGAGATTACAGGTAATCTGGCTAAAATGCAAGCTCTTGGTAAATTAAAGAGGGCCAGAGAAGCTTTACCATGCTGAGTCTGATCCTCCAAGGCTACACTCAGCTTCTCACTGCAGACACTCCTTCCCACCCATCCGGGTTTTATGGTGTCTGTTATACAGGGTGTGCACATTCATCTCTGGACTCACCCAGGCTCCGGAATATTGAGATATAGTCCTGATTGGTCTCTGCTTCTCTCCTTACAGACTGTCTCACACACTGAGCATCAGAGGGCACCAGAGAAAGTTACTGAAGTCACATTCCTCTTCCCACACCATCAGGATAACAGCTGAAGTTCTCCCCATACCAGCCATGCCATAATGTGACTTGTTTCTTCTATGTCTGGGGCTGTGTCCCTTTTCCTCATCTGGTTTATCAACTGTTAACTGTGTACACGGACTTTCACTAACCCCTGGCTTTATCTCATGCAGGATTTGCATATCATTCAGTCCTCCTGACCTGTTTATATTTCTTTTTGAGTGTGTCTGTGTGTGAATATGTGTGTATGTATGCATGTGTGTGTCCGTGTGTGTCTCCATGTGTGTCTGTGTAAGTAAGTGTGTGTTTATGTATATGTATGTGTATGTGTATGGGACTGTGTGTATGCATATGTGCATATGTGTGTATTTGCATGTGTGTGCATGTATGTGTATTCAGAGGACAATCTTTGTTATCATTCCTTTGATGCTGTCTACCTGATGTTTTGAGACAGGTGTCTATTTGGCCTCACTCATTAAGCTGACTGTCAGTGAGCCCCAGAGATCCTCCTACCCTGATGCTTCCCTGATGCTGGAGTTAATAAACAAGGACCACCACACCTGGATATTTTATATGGTTCTGGGGATTGAACTTTGGTCCGCATGTTTATCCCACACAAGGCTACCTTCTTTACGAAGCACCCTATTTATCCCTCAAAGAGTTAATACTGTCAAGACATCAGTTCTTATGCTTTTGAGCACAGACGGGGGTTGAATGCAGGACCTTACACATGCTAACCAAGTGCTCTGCTATTTAGCTACATCTCTAGGTCCAATGCAGTGTGACAATTCAACATAATTCCAACCATAATCGCAACAGGCTATCTTCTCTGTTGGACAAACTGATTCTCAAGGAGACAGAGAGATGATGTAGGGAAAGGAGCACGCACAAGCTCAAGACTCAGGCTGGCAAACACAATGGTAATGAAAGAAGTAGCCATACTAACACAAGATCTGACTTTAAGGCTTACTATAGAACCACAGTAATTAACAAATTGTGACAGTGGGAAAAGAACAAAACAGAAACTTCAAAAAATAAACTTACAAAATTGCTGTCAGTAGTCTTTGACAAAGAAACAAAAGAAATACAGTGGAGAAACAGTAATGATCTCATTCATTCCTCACAACCATCTATGAATCCTGGCTGGGGATCAGTCCTCAGGCTAGGGCTCAAATGTATGACCTGTTGGCCAACACTCTAACCCAGTGGCTTTTATCTCAGTTCATGTAAGAACGTCTATATCTGGCTTTTGAAGTTCACTGCTAGGATATCCACTCTCTTGACAGTGCCTTCTCAATAAGTTATCACAGAATCTAACTTAAAACAAGACATCCCAAACTATAGACACTTGGAAAAGCAGGACACTGGTCATAGCCTTTCAAGGACATACAGAAATTGAGAGCCTGCCAGATGACAGCTCGGTTGAGTTACAGTGGAACCTGTAACATGAGGAAGCTGTGCGATACAGACAGCCTCCTTCACCCTAGGCTCCAACTCCCAGAACCTTCCGTACTTCTGCAATGGGAAGAAGCAAACAACAGGAAAGAAATATCAGATGTACTGAGAACTTCCTACAGTCAAGCCCCTCTCAGCGATCTCTCATTCTGCATCTCTTCCTGTGACTACACAGCTCACATAGTGGGGAGCAAAGGCCTAAAGCACCACACTATCTGCAAATAAGGGCACTGAGGTGTGTCTGGTAAGGAGAAAAAAAAAAAAAAAACCTGGGACCCTCTGGTAGGGTTTGCAATAACAGCCTTGTTAGAGTTTGGCTTCCTCATTGCTCCTGTCAGGGAATTAATCAGCCCGAACCACACTGGTAGTCTTCCCCAAGTGTCCACAATATACTGTAGCCTTTCCAAAGTCCCTACTGACTAATGCAAAAAATAAAACCCAACACTTCTGGTGAATTTTAAAAAATGATAGGAGAAAAAGAATACTGTAATCATGGTATGAATCAAAACTGTCCGCCAGCTCCTGACCACAGTAGATGACAGCTAGGGAAATGAGCAGATGTTGATTAGGGAACAAAGTCAGCTCAATTTCAAGCTTCAGTTCCACAGTAATAAGCCACGCTGCGCTCTGAAAATTTTACAACAGAATCAATCTCATTGCACCTAAACTGCCGCACAGCCAGGATCCAAACTGTAACAGAGCTCTACGTAGGCACTACACCCACCAGGTCAACAGAGATGCCTAAATTATCATTCCAGTAGTGGAGAGTTCCATGGGGGGGGGGGGGCGCAAGTACATTAAACTGCTTAAATGTCTAACAGAGGGCTTTTCTCTACCACAACAAAAGGAAATAGGTTCCGGAAATAGGTTCTGTACAGGACATTAGTCCCAGGAACCTGAGCTTACCTGCAATGATCCCGTCCATCTGCTCCAGGGCAGCTTCCAGCATATGACTAGCATCAGAAGTCATGGCTCCTTTTCTCTGTTCAGTCTCCCCCTGCTGCTACTGAAAATTCAAATATAGAACAAAGGAGAAATTACAGAAGTTAGGGGTTAAAATTAGTGCAAGACCATGAAAGTGTTTTAGCTCACCAGTATATATTTTCCAATGTTTAAGAAAGTAGCGTCACTGAAGAATAACTGATAAACAAAGAACTGCATACATTTAATGTGTTCTGTCTGTTGAGTTTGGGCATATACAAAAACGTCTTGACACCATGACCAAAATTATGATAATAAATATAGCAACTTTAAAAGTTTGACTCATTTATTTTTGGTGCTAAGTACAGTTGCCATGAATGAGATAGCTACTTTTTCCACAAATGCTAAAGCATAAACACTGTGTTTACTGCACATACAACACACTTTCATTAAGAATTCAGGCAAGAGAGGAGGAGGGTGCACGCCTTTAACTAGCACTCAGGAGGCAGAGGCAGGCCGATCTCTGAGTTTGAGGTCAGCCTGGTCTACAAAGCCATTCCAGGACAGCCAGGGCTACAAAGAGAAATCCTGTCTTGGAAAACAAGAACAAACAAAAGAATCCAGGCCAGGAGCTGTGAGATAGTGTAGTAAAGGGCACTGGTTGCTCTTCCACAGGACCTTTGTTTGGTTCTCAGCACACACATTCCAGCTCACAACTGTCAGTAACTCCAGTTCCAGAAGGCTCCAATGTTCTCTTTTTGGCCTCTGCAGGCACTGCACGCAAGTGGTGCACAGACGTACACGCAGAAAGAATATCCATACACATAAAATAAAAATAAATAAAATCAATTATATTTTTAAAATTCCAGGCCAGGGCCAACAAGGTAGCTTAGCAGGGAAACTGACTGCTATACAATCCCAGTAACCTTAGCTCAATCCCCAGAACCCTGTGGAGGTGGAAGGAGAGAACAGGGCTGGAGGTTGCCTTCTGACCTCCACACTCATGTTGAGGCACGCTCACAAAGTAATAATAATGATGAATATGGTGATGGGGGCGGGGAAATCTTAGTAGTGGCTTTTTAGTTCCCATAGCCTCGAACTCCTGGTAAGAATACTCTTTCACCATGAATCTTGTGCATTCAAGTTGTTATAACGAAGAGCTGCCAGTTTACCTAGAATCCCCTGTGGCAGCAAGATAACTGTTCCACATTTTAGTGCTGAGAGTTAAGGCCCAGAAACTCTAACAACCCCTGGGGAAGGCCCGAATGCCTTGTGGCCATACATGCCCCTTAAACACAGCACCTCCCTAGGACATGTGTGACCCTGCATGAAAAGCTGCAAATTTCACTCTCCTCTCTCCAGTGATCAGTGTGCCCCGTCTAGGAGGGTCACATTTACAAAGATGGAGAGAGGATGTTGTCCCAAGAGCACTGCCTCTTACCATCTCACCTGTTTACCCAGCAGCAACCCAAGCTAAATCCCAGCCTCTGCAGGCTCAAGAACACCTCCTAGGATGCACAGTCCAGCCAATTCTAATGCTCAATCCCTGTTCTCAGGGCCCATCACTAGGGAGATGACAGACTTCCTCCTCTCACTCCTGTCCTTCCCACTGAGGGAAACCACCTCTGTCTCTGGACAATTCTGCCTCTTAGAAAGGCTAAGCTGCCCTTCTTGCCACCTCCTTTCCTGTTTCTTGCTTCTCACCTCGCTGGATGACAGAGGTCTTACAGCAGCATTTGTCATCCTAAAAAGATACTGAGCTCATGACTGTAAACCAGGAAGAGTCATTGTTTGTTTGCTCATTCAGCAAAGCCTACGCATGTGTCTAATGTGCATCAGTACTTTGAATGGCCCAGGCATGGTTCCCACACCAAAACATGAAATGGATGGTTGGGGGAAGCATTTGCTTCTCCTGTGACGTGGAAACACTGGAGGCAATTAGGCACCACACAAGAGTGACTTGGGAAGTGGAATAGTTAAGGAATTTAAGAGAACAAAGAATGAGGCTGAGTCCAGACCCAGATCTACCATTTACTATTACTTGTGAGATCGCTACCCTTGTTTTCCTCAACAGCAAAGTGAGGACAACAGCATCTAACTCACAAGATTGGTGTGGGGACCAGAGGGTCAGGAAAGTCATACTGAGTGCTCCTTGCATACAATAAGGTCTGGTTTTGCTTTTAAAGTTGGGAAATAACTCTAGACATATCTTTGCCAGGCTAGTTCACAAGACAATATTTGAAGCTAAGATGTAGGGGGCCAGGGAGGAAGAACCCAGTTACACTCAGAGGCTGGTTCCCCTGCAGGGGTCCATGACAAAGTAGGAAGGTCATTTTGCACATGGAAGGAAAACTAGTATTCTAGGGCATCAAAGGCCAAGGAAGGGTTAGAAGCAAGGGCGCTTGGCTAGAGGTAGGGGTAGGATGAGAGCATGAGGGAGTTGGGGAAGGTGTTCTGCCTTGAGTCAAGAACCACTACACGGCTAGCTTAAGGGAATAAGAATATTCACTAATAGAGGGGACCAAGGGATCTGCTCCTTGTTGGGGCCACACTCTCTGAAACAAGGGCCAGGAATCCCATGAAGCAGACAAGTGGTCTAGGCTGACCCTAGAGTGTGACAACATTGGAGTCTGAATGAGAAGCAAGCTTGGGTCAGGACAGGTAACAGGAAAGGTGGAGGAGGGGTAGTAGAAGAAGGGCTTGCTCAGCCATAGGGACCCTGAAGTTGGAAATTCTTTCTTCCAAAACCATCTCACTGCTCCTAGAAAGGAAAATGATTGCAGCCCTTCCTATGACTTATGACAACAGTGCTGCCAGGCCAGATTGGGACTGTTCCTAAATAAATAAATAAATAGATAGATAGGTAGATAGATAGATAGATAAATAAATAAATAAATCACTAAATCACTCTAAAACCATGTCCTCCTCTGGGAGTGGCCAGCTGCCATCCTCTATACTCTTGGATTTGCTCCCTGAATTTCTATAGGGCTGGTTTACTCTCATCCTTAGGTCTCAGTTTCAATGCACCTTCTCAGGGAGGGCTTCTCTGAACACTGCTCCTCTAAGTATAGAATTCCTAAACATCTTATCCATCTATGTGTTCACTCCCCAACCTGCCCCCTTCCCAGTGAAACAAGGAACTCTGTCAACCCTTATTACCCCTGTGCCTTGCAAGGTACCTGACATAAGCAGTTTGTAAGTGAATAAATAAGTAATGAATCCAGGTAGCCATCATCTCCTGAACTCTGCCACACTTGGCACTGCGGAGGTATTGATAACTGCTCCCATGGGCTACATAGTCTACTGGAAAAGACAGAAATATGAGCAAATACTTATGGCATACTATGAGGCAGGTAGGCAGCATCACTGAGTCTTGACAGATGAGTAGGAGCTTTCTCAGAAGGTAAGGAGAACGTTCTTCCAGGCAGAGGCTGCAATGCATGAGGCAGGGAGGCAAGTAAGGGCAGGACACTGTTGGCTAGGGTCAAATGGTTGATGAGATTATATAGGAGCAACCAGCTACTCTCAGTGAGTCAAAGCCTTCCACAGATTCCCATAAGCAGGATCTGGGCCATTTAATACAAGGAGCCTTCGAATCACCACTTCACAGCTCTGAACACAAATGTACAACATATCAAATGGTCTCAGATGGAAATGGAGTGCAGATTTTTAAGGAAACATCTCTTATTTCAGCAGGTAGGCAGTCTCCCCAATGAGTCATGGTTGGCCCTGGCTGAGGGCTCAAACCATGGTGAAAATACATGGGGTCCCCAAGGGCTCATGATACATATCCCTGCAACAGAGAGGCCTTAAAAGAACCTACAGTGTCTGCCCAGTGATGAATTTGTACTTGGCAAGCAGCAAGCTGGGTGGACCCTGGGAGCCCACAGAGAGAAGAGCATGAGTCAAAGGTGTATCCTCACCACGGCCCAGCAGCTGCAGCAGTGAGACTGGGGCTAGCTGCTCTGGGCAGAACTGATGAGGTCATATCTAGTCCTGCTGGATCTGAGGTAAGAGCAGGACATGTGATGATGGGTTCCTGCCAGCTCTGTCACAGGGCCACTGTGAGACATCATGGTGTCAGGTGTACAAGGGACAATACACCACAGGAGCCTCCTCCTGACTGTGTGAACAAAGGCAACGTTACTAGTCTCTAGCCATTCCCCTTCTAAGTGCTAACAGCCACTCTCCCCTTCCTAAGATAGACTCTGTGTTAGCAAAGAATACAAAATGGGGCAACCTTTGCCTCAAGAATCTTGGGTTTAAAAAAAGAAAAAAAAAACTTTTCATACTTGTTACATTAAATGTATACGGTTTTCTTACACTAAATTTTTAATTTTCTGTGAACTGCAAGGGGTATCCTTATTTAATTCAATTTTAACACCATACACCAGGAGTTTGTCTCAGACCTCAGTGAAGGCTCAGTCCCACAGGCTGGCCCCACCCCAGATGGCACTAAAAAGTTCAGGCCTCTGGGCTGACTGGCTACAAAACAAGGGGTCCATAACCCCTTCCTCAGATCTGATCATCTACGACTCATTTTGCAAAGGGCAAAGTATGGGGTTAAGAGTTGGAACCTATGGGACTGGAGAGATGGCTCAGCAGTTAAGAGAGCTTACTTGCTCTTGCAGAGGACTGGGATTCCAGATCTCCTGTTCCAGGGGAGTCAACACCTTTCCTAACCTATGCCGGCTCCTGCATACACATGGTACACATATGTACAATCAGGCACACACATCCTCATAATAATGCAAACACACACACACACAATCTCCTGGCTGGTTCCTTTGGTCAACACCTTCATCCTCTGGGAGTCACGTAATCAACATACACTTAGAGTGAAAGAAGTGCATTGTAAATAACAAAAGCTATTCAATACATTCCTCTAGCCTTAGCTACATATCTAAATTACTCTAAACCTCAAGAGTTTTAGAAGCCTTGTGCTAGGAATGGGGGAAAAGACTCACATATCATTTCTTATCAGTCAACATCAGAGGCAAGTAGTATGTTATTTGACAACAGGTAATGATGTGTGCTGGGTCTTCATTGCCTTTCTCCAAAGGGAGGTGCTGTGACAAAACTTTT